TTGAAAAAGTTGGAAACTGACATATGATAAACATTCAAAATATTGACATATGACAATCACTCAAAATACTGTCTCAAATTAGATATTGTTTCCGGTAGCTGGTTGTTCTAAGACCTTTAAGTATTTTTATGACTATGGGGGAACCGGAAGATGTGAAAATTAGAAGTTGAGCACTGAATGACAAAATAGAATTCTATTAAGATGAATATGTTTACCCATACAAAGATTCATTAGTAATAGATACTTAATATACTATATATACGCTTAATAAATGGGATTACATATTGCAACCTGAACGTAGGAAAAATTTTATCTTAGACAATTTTAAATAAAATAATTTAGCTCCTCTATATGGAATTATTTGTCAATTCCCTTGATTTTGATGTCTTAACTGAAAATCGGATGATAATTTTGAATTTAAGGTGACTTTCTGTTCCCCATGTCTTCCTGACATCTTATTCAGAGCTTCAAATTAAATCCTTTTTGTTTTTTCTTTTCTATTTCTCAAACATTGTTAGTCTGGCAAGGGTTGCATTTGTCTCTTATCTCACGGCTGGCACCTGGATCTCTAATATTGAAGATACTTCCTATCAATTAATAGTACCATTATGTGAAAGTAATAAAATGTTCTAAGATATTAGTATTTGTGTTCTATTTTTCCTTAGCTTTTTGAAGAATATTGAAGAAGGTATAATTCTTTAAGTTAGGTGGATGAAAATACAAAAAATATTAAGACAAATTTGCAAGTTACCTTAACTAGTACAAATTAATTAATACAAACAAATCATTGCCACAATGAAAGCACTCACATGGTATTCATTTTTCATACAACATCTTTCTGGACTGGTTGAGAAGTTACTTAGGTAGTCAGTGAAATCCTGGCCAGTTGGAAAAGGTTATTTTTATAAGCTCCACTTTTCTCACAACATTTTATTATAATTTTCATGTAACCAAATTGACTTGGTTTTAAATTTAATAAAATCTAGAGCACCCAGACTGACACGGTCTTCCCACCAA